CCCAACGACGACGACGACACCCGACGCCGACGCCCGACGCCCGACGCCCGACGAAAGACGCCCGACGCCCGACGCCCGACGCACGACGCACGACGCACGTCGCAAGACGCACGACCCACGACGCGCGACGCACGACGACGGACGACGACGACGACGACACCCGACGACGACCACGACGACGACGACGATGACGACGACGACGAACGACGCACGACGCACGACGCACGACCCACGACGCACGGCGCACGACGGACGACGCACGACGGACGACGCACGACGACGACGACGACGACGACGACGACGACGACCTGGTAATGCCAGGTAATGCGCTTTGTAATGCCATAAAACAAAGCACGCTCGTAATATCCTGGTAATGCCAGGTGATGCGCTCATCTTGGAAGTGAAGTAAAAGTCCTGTTTAATATTTTAGCTTTGTAATGCCACAAAACAAAGCACGATTGAAAACAATGAAAGCATGCAATGAAAGCATGCAGCAACATGGCAAATGATCAACACCTGAACTCAACGGTTCAAGCGGTCAACAATGCTTCGACATTTTCGGCCACCCAGCACCCTAAATTTTCCGGAAATTTAGGGAGCTGGGCCGTGGCTTCTGAACATGATCAGGCTGCATCCGTTTCCTAAATTTCCTGAAAATTTTGGGTGTGTAAATTTTCGGAAAATTTAGGAAAGCGATGAAGCAAATTTTCCGGAAATTTAGGGACCGAGGCTTCGGGCTACCCGGAACCAGAAATTTTCCAGAAATTTAGGGGAGCGAATCCGGCTTGCGGCCGTCGAAGAGGCCCAGCCTTTCAAAGGGCACAGCCCAAGCCCCAAAATTTCCCGGAAATTTTGGGTCCCGGGTAGGCCAAAGCGGCTTGCTCGCCGGGGTCCAGAAATTTCCGGAAAATTTTGGGGCTGGGGCGCTCCGAGGCGTGACGCACCGCATAGGGCTGGTTTGACCGTAGCGTTTTATAGAGTAGATAATTATCTATATTTTATAAGGGGGAGAGAAATATAAGCCTCCATTCTCGTTGATCTCGGCACTTGGATAAATTGGTATTTTTAAGATCAGAAATCTTTTTATTCTTTGCATACACTTATATTACTTTAGGTCGGAGATCCCTCCTCCTAAATCTCATTTAGAATATCCTCGAATAGAAATTTCGAAGGAAAATCTTGGCCCTTCAAATGCCAAGATTAACAACCTTCAGAATGAGGCCTCAGAAATGAGATCCAATGAGAGATTTTCATCAAAAGACAAAAGATTGGGATCCTCATGAGGCTTCTGTTCGAGAATACCCCAAATGAGATCCAGAAGGAAATTCATGGATGCCCAAAGAATAGACGAACAAAAGAATAGGATCTCCATAACCCAAGAGGGAAAAGTGTCCACCACCACCCCGAATTAAGCCAGGATAAAACCCTCGGCAAGAACGATAAGAAAGGGTACTACAAAGAACGAGCACGCCATTGAAATCAAACCATCAACGATTTCCGGAACTCGACCTGGTACGAATCTTAGAAATATTCTGACAGAACTTCGAACTTTTCCGAATCGTGGCAAGCGAGAGGCTTTTTGTCCGAGCAGCAGCGATTTTTGCTACCGCGCATAAATTCTTCGCACTTCAGCTGTTTTCGTTCTACAATGCTGAGGCCCTTTAATTTTGACCTGCGTACTTTCAACTTCATGTGGGTAAAGGATCCTCATATTCTCGGGTCAAGGGATTCTCCGAATCTAAATCCTCCTAGAAACCCCCATAAAAAGCACACGCTCAAAGACTATATGCCTGAAATTTTGCCATATGGAACCCGAACCCCTAACCCCTAATCCCTAACCCTTACCCCTCACCCCTAAACCCTAAACCCGAAACCCTTAACCCTAAACCCTAAACCCGTAAATCTACACAAGCCATTGCCATCATCACGGCACACGGCGGGAGCGCCCCGAAACCGTGCTGCGCTGTGAGCTGCACACCTATTCTTCGGGCTTGGAGAATAGAGTTTAGGGTTCAGAGTTTCTTTTTGCAGGCTTTAGAGGCATAGGTGCTGAAGAGTTTGAGATTTACGTTTGGGGGGGTTAGGGACTCATGCTTCGAGTTTGCGGATCGATGAGGTCTGCATGGCCATTTAGGGCACAACGTAATCACATAAGGGTTTTCACCTCCTTTTCCCATCCAACACGCCGCCAGGGTCGGCGGACCCTAAACCCCAAACCCCAAACCCCAAACCCCAAACCCTAAACCCTAAACCCTAAACCTTAAACCCTAAACCCTAAACCCGCCCGCCCCCCCTCAAAGCTCTATTGGGGTAGGAGGCAAAGGAACCCTCCGAGGGTTTTAGGGTAATAAAATATATCTGTGACAATGCTAGGCGACTCTAGCTTGGCGACCCCTCAGGGGTGCGGTTGGCAGGCTCTGCAGCCCAGCAGAGCCTGCCCTGGTCTCGCTGAGCGCTCGACTGCGCATCAAGAATTAATGACTTGGGCGCATTTGGCAGTTTCCATACACAAGGGGAAACCAATTATCGACCCTAATAGACAGCAATCCTTATTATGGCTAGGGTTATCATAAAAAAAGCTGCTCTCCTCCTTAGGAAGTTTGCTTTTGAAAGGCCTAGTTCGGCCCTAAACCCTAAACCCTAAACCCTAAACCCTAAACCCTAAACCCTAAACCCTAAACCCTTGTTGTTGTACGCATTGGGTGAAGGCCAGACCAAGTGGGGCCCTGCCTGGCAGGATGCCCTCCTCCATTGCCACGAGCTCCTCGTCCTCGAGCTTCGGGTTTAGGGTTTAGGGTTTAGGGTTTTAGAGTTTAGGGTTTAGGGTTTAGGGTTTAGGGTTTAGGGTTTAGTACATGCATCTACATGCTCTTCATCACATGATGATGATTTAGGCTTCTACCTTCAGTCCTACAACCCGCTGTGAACGTCCATGCCATTCTCACATGAAATGTGTGCAAGCTTCAGCTCAGGTTGCAGCTACGGTCTTCGGGTAGCTACATGGGGCCCTTAGAACAAGCCTTCGAAGGGGGCCCTGATATCAGGATCCATGAAACAAGGTAAGGGACCATTTTGAGGGCCCAAAAAAAGACACCCAAATCACCACTTCGTTGGATCAGCATCAGGAGCAGAAGGTAAACGAAGAGACGAATGAGCCACAGGCCGCCACAGGAGCCAGCTCCATGAGCACGGCTGGCTCCTGTAACAGCGCCAAGGAAAAACGAGTAAATCGTGCTCAACAAGAAGGCCAAGCGTCCTCACCGAAGACCATCAGTTGTTCCTTGCAAGCAGCACCACACCAAATCCCGAAATTAGGGGAAGCTCCGATGTTTTTTTCAAGTCGAGACACAGCCAACATCCCATCCCAGCGAGTTTCCTGAAGTTCAAACAAGCAAGGAATTCTCAACAAAAAAAGACATAAATAGACACACGTATATATGTATAAAGCTAAACACAGATTCTGGCAAAATATAGACCACCAACTCTAAGTCACTGGCATCATTCTCCAGGAAGTTGTGGCTGTCCTGACAACATGTAACTACAGCTCACAGCATCATGGTCGCCTTCCTGCAATACCAACCCTATAAAACACGATCCCCTCCAACATATATACCTTCCGCATCCATCTCTCCTCCTCTTCCTCCTTCACCTCATCCTCCATGGTGAGGTTGATCACCTAATGGCCCACATCCAAGAACGACAACAAAAAGTTACTCAAACACGCAAGCAGTGCACACAAGGAGGACAAGTGGCCATGGGCACCGGATCGTGCTCAACCATGGATGCCTCACACCGCACGTCCCAGTTGCAGTAGCTATGCCACTACACTCATCATTGCATACCTCTCCCCCAAACATGCCCAAAGCGTAAACCCTACACCCTAAACCTAAACCCGACCCGAAACCCTAAACCCGAAACCCTAAACCCTAAACCCCAAACCCTAAACCCCAAACCCTAAAACCATTCAAACCAGCTGAGGCATGCTCCACGCCAAGCACCACCTCAAGCAGGGCGGGCCGCTTGGCCAAAGACTTGACCTTAGGGCCCCACACAGTAACCGAGGTTTAGGGTTTAGGGTTTAGGGTTTAGGGTTTAGGGTTTAATGGACATATAAGAAGGTACATCAACATGTACAGGTATCTTCCGATGAATTGAGGATTTACGGTGTAGGGTTTAGGGTGGTATACTGGAAATACAAGAGGACCCGTATACAATCCCCCTTTTCGTCGCGGCATGGGAGCCTGGGCAGGACTGGGATGGATTCGGGGCCCGATGAAAGTATTGGTTTATGGCGTTATAGCGAATGTGAGATAAGAACTAGCATCAGAAGTGATTCCAAAAAGCGTAACTGGGGTTTCTCCACAACATGTTTTTTTTTGAAATCAACCCCTAAACCCTAAACCGCGTGATGGACGTGCAGGGCTCAGCCACTGAGGCTTTCGAAAGCTAAGCCTTTAGCACGCATACAGGTATATGTATGTGTGTAATCCCTTCCGATATTGGGCACCCCCAAAATCAAGCATGACCTATAGTCTTAGAAGAGCCGAAGAAATATGGGCATGGGGACATCTTGAGTACTATAGGGGGTAACATCTTGAGTACTATAGGTTGGGGGGGTAACATGTAGGGAAGGAACACTTCAAGCAAAGATCGCCTTCCTGCTTGACCTCGTGTTCCACGCGTGCGATCATGCAGAGTATTTCATGCTGGGAATGGGGAGGGGTGGTTAATTCTTTGCGGAAGCGATCACCTCTGAAACTTCATATAGGATTGAGACCCCCCCAAAGCGCAAAATCCAAAACCAGGGCCCCGGCAGCCTGGCGCAGGAGCCTTGCTATGACTGCTTTTGGTCGAAGGTTCTGTCAATTCGGGTTTAGGGTTTAGGTTTTAGGGTCTTAGGGTTTAGGGTATTAGGGTATTAAGGTTTAGGAAGTTCGGGGCTTGGGCTTGTGGGCTCTGCGTTCGCCAACTTGCGTCGTGGCCAGCTGTCCGGTTGGAGC